GAATCAACCTGATTTTTTAAAATTCAGTCTTAAATGAATGAAATGCTTTGAGTTTAATGGTAAAAAGTGAGGAGAAAACAAATGTTAGTTGACTGCATTCTGATTACACTGGACCAATGTGCCCATTAAAAACAGCTTTATCTTTAGATTCGATACCAGTCACAATGTAGAGTCTGATTTCAGACTATGGGTCTCGGGTGGGGCTGGGCGATATATTGAGGTTTTTTTTTTTTTTTAATATTAATATATTTTTATACGAGATATAAGAAGTGACAATATTGTTTTTATTGATATAGTATGTGTTACGTTATAATTATACTTGTGGAGCCGCAGGTTTGCCTGTTTCGTCCACTTTTGTCTCTACGCAACGTTACTCTTCTGCTCTACTTCCTGCTGCGCCTGAGAAGATTCGGCATGAACCCCAGAATACTTACAAACTTCTACCGGTGCACCATTGAAAGTATTCTGACTGGGCTCTGGTGGACTTGGTTCTATGGTAGGTCTTAAAGGGTTAAAGAGTTACACAGGACTCAAGGAATGAATAAAATCTCCACCTGATAAGCAGATTCACTAACACCATCAACACAAATATCCATCCTTAATGACATGGGTCGTCTCGTGGGAACACAGGAAGATTGAAACGTTTAAAGACTGAATACAGGCCTGCAGTTGTGTTTTCGTGGCTTGTAAAGCCAGAGATGAACAAAATAATTCATACACAGGGTGTATCGAGAAGAATAATCTGATGTTTTAAAATATGTTTTGTAGGGAGCTGTCTGCTCAGTATGTTATTTGTCCAAGCTGTGATGTTGTTGCGTTCTTTGAGTATTGTACATAATAACTGTAAATTAAATAATGGTACATTACTGATAAACTGTCTATTTGTGGAGTTTCTAAATCCAAACGGTGTGCAGGACGCCCACCGTCCTTATTTATTTTTGGTTGATGTTTTTGTTTAATGTTTTACTCCAGTACTGCTACCAGGACTGAATGAATACATCAG